GGGAAGGTGAAGGTGAAGATATTGTTGGTAAAGAAAAAGAAACTGGAACAATTAGAGTTCGTGTTGATCCAAAATATTTCCGGCCAACTGAAGTTGATTTATTACTTGGTAGTCCTGCTAAAGCTCATAATCTTCTTGGTTGGAAACGAAAAGTTGATTTTGATTCTCTTGTAAAAGAAATGGTTTTATCTGACATTGAAGGTGCTAAAGTTAATTCTGAAAATTAGAGTTGTATATATTTAAATATAAATATAAATATATATATATATATAGGTTTTGTTAACATTTTTAGATAATTTAACAGATTAAGATATTCAATTTGTATTGAAATTTTAACGTAAAAAGATAACTTAATAAAAAATTATTTTCACAGCAAAGTGACGTTTTTAAGCATTTAATTCTTTGCATTATCGCTTTTTTTTTTTTTTTTTTTTTTTTTTTTTTTAAAAAAAGTAAATGATTTATTTTCGTTTTAGATTAATTAGCATTTCTGATATTGTATATACATATGTATATAATATAGCACCAACTTACATTATTAAACTAATTATTATCATTATTCACGTAATATAAGCTTCGTATGTTTTTCAATTGATTCTATAGTATATAATTTTTTGATTACATTTTTATCACGCTTATCTGTAAATTGGTGCTCAAGGGAATCATTATGATCTTTACGATAAATCTTTCAATTTCGTCTTAAATGTTTGTTAGTATATCATGGGGCCATATTAGTTATGATAAAATTTTATTATTTTTTTTTAAATTTAATAATTTTTGAACTAATAATATTGTTAATAATTTTTTTTATTCTATATAGAATATTATTCTTCAATTTTTTTTATAAATGTATTAAGAAATTTTTTATAAAATAATAAAATACAATCTTTAATTTTGATTAATATTAGAATATATAAATATAAATATTTTATAAAATACTGATTATAAAGATAAAAATTAAACTATTATATTTACCTCACAAAGAATTTCTGTCAAGATATACTTATTTAAAATTGAATCATTATATATCAAA